CGCTCGAACGTCGCAAAATGCAACAGCCTCTGCGCCAAATTCTGCTGTAGCTAACTAATTCATCGCACCTGATTTTTATAATGCAAAGAAACCATAAAGCATATTTAGGCCATAAAGACGTTGTATACCATTTGGTAATATTGGTCGTACCTGTTCAACAACGATAATCCTGTAGTCCAACAGTTGACGTTTTAAAATGGGATGCATGTGACGAAGAAAGATCTTAAGTTGTGCATAACGGTCGCGATAGGCAATAATAATGGCCACCTAGAAATATCATTATCACCATGATTATCATCACCATCATTGGCACCATTACCATCACTACGATCATCACCACCACTATCACCATCATCACCATCACTACCATCATCACCATCACTACCATCATCATCACCATCACTACCATCATCATCACCATCACTACCATCATCACCATCACTACCATCATCACCATCACTACCATCATCACCATCACTACCATCATCACCATCACTACCATCATCATCACCATCACTACCATCATCATCACCATCACTACCATCATCATCACCATCACTACCATCATCATCACCATCACTACCATCATCATCACCATCACTACCATCATCATCACCACCATCATCATTACCATCATCAACATCACTACCATCACCATCATACATACCTTACTGGCAGCTTGACATGTAACTGGTCTCCAAGCACCACCATTAAAAACCCAGTTTACCTCATCCCAAGAACTTGCAATATCTTCCATATTTGGAACAGATTGGTTAACTTGGAGACAACGAACTATAACAAAAGATAAGACTTGTAACAATATAGGTCCATACAGACCGAACGCGATTTGGCAACGCGACACGAATTTTCAATGACATTTAAATTTAATATTTTGCTATGCTTTTCATTTTTAAATATTCGGAACCACTTAAGCAATTTTAGCTATTTGGTCTGCATATCGGTTGACGGTTTTATTTGTTTTTAAAAACTGAAAATTTGCGTCACTTTGCCGAATCGTGTGATTCGTGTCCGGTCTGCATGGACCTCAACACTCAACAGAACTGCTTAACTTTTGTAAACCAAATAACTAGAGCTCCTAAGATGTGACCTACAAATTCTGACTATGGTCAAGCCCTAGGCAAACTCAAATGTTTCCCTGTTTGCCCACCCATGGAAACATTGTTGCGGAAACAAAATTTCCTTCTCGGAAAGCAATATATACCGGTAAGCAATACTGTTCATTCCTAAATGTCCAAATCGACAATGCCACAAATTCTTATCTGGTGCTTCTCTCGCAACATTGATATACTCCACTCCATGTAGGAATAATCTTCAGCATAATGCGAAATAGTGCGCGATTCACAACAGCTTCAGGCCATATATAGATACAGATCTAATTTAAAAACAGCAGGCAATAGGTTTGGTTAAGTCCCGAGCCTATCATCCACGTTATAATTCCTATCTAGTGCGGTATAGTAATATTTACTAATTAAGAGATTTTTAAAGGTTATTAGAGAGTTAGATTTATCGGTTATTGATCATGGTAATATGTTCCATTTTCTTGTTGATCTTATCGTATAAGTCTGTTTGTAGGTAGAGGTCTTACATTTCCTAACTTGGAAGTTTATGGAGTTCGGATCTACTGATCTTGTAATTCGTGAGTTTTCATTAGGTTTGGAAAAACTGCATCCGAGAGGCACATGATAGCAATTTGCCTTGTGGAAAAATAACATGTCTAAATATTCATACCAATAACTTAGAGGTAGAACGACCAAGTCAATAAGCCTTTGGGTGTAACTGCTTTCACTAAGGAAAGGTAGATCTAAAATGTATTTGGAAGCCCGTCTTTGTACGTGTTCTAAGCGAGCGATGTGGTCGATGGTTTGCGGAGACCAAACTTGTGTATAGCATATCCATTTGCGATCGAACAACGGAACAAGTGTTATATATAGGGTCGGACGGGCTTTACAGTTCTTGATTGTTCTTGTTGATATTTTGATGAAACCCTACTGCATATCATTTAACTTTGTGGTTTATTACTGACCATTGTTAAAAAGTGTGGAGGGGCCCCAAAGACAAATAATAGGCGATTGGAACAAAAACCAGATATAAACATTGCACTGTATTATAGCTTCGTGCAGCTTCGTGCGAGGACTAGAAATCCGCCTTAATTAACACGCATAAAATATCTCAAATTCTTTTGTCTACACGCCCCAGCGTGTTAGGGACGGAATCGGAAATAGTAACTACTGGTATATTTTATTAACAATCACTTACCCAGCTCTTCGTATGGCTTTTTGCAAAGTGGTAGTTCAGTCGGTTTGGTTTGGGCTTGGGAAACATTTTGTCTATTTGTAGGCTGTATCATATGTGAATTACTCTGTTGTGAGTTATTCTGTGAGTCCAACGGTTTTGCATTTTTCACACCGATATCGGCAGCAGTAGAATTCTTCACATTCACGCCATGTTGAATTTGTGTATTGTTCTTGGCCGCAGAGACATTTGGACCGTTTAAACGACGTGTATTCTCTGAATTTAGAACCATAGATTTGCCATAGCCTAAAGGAACACTGGAATTTTGTCTTTGCGCTTGAGACTCGGCGGACGTGGTTTGCGAATGCTTTATATTAGTTTGTGAGTCCAAAGGTTTTGCATATTTCACACTGATACCGGCAGCAGTAGAATTCTTCACATTCACGCCATTTTGAATTTGTGTGTTGTTCTTGGCCGCAGAGGAATTTGGACCGTTTAAACGACGTGTATTCTCTGAATTTAGAACCATAGATTTGCCATGGCCTAAAGGAACACTGGAATTTTGTCTTTGCGCTTGAGACTCGGCGGACGTGGTTTGCGAATGCTTTATATTAGTTTGTGAGTCCAAAGGTTTTGCATATTTCACACTGATACCGGCAGCAGTAGAATTCTTCCCATTCACGCCATATTGAATTTGTGTGTTGTTCTTGGCCGCAGAGGCATTTGAACCGTTTAAACGACGTATATTTCCTGAATTTAGAACCATAGATTTGCCATGGCCTAAAGGAACACTGGAATTTTGTCTTTGCGCTTGAGACTCGGCGGACGTGGTTTGCGAATGCTTATTAGTGTTCGTCCTGATAACATTGCCAGTGCCTGCGAACGGATTCTCCTTCAAGTTCGAGTCAAGAACAAAATATTGCAAATGGTTCAAATTCTCAACATCTTCTTGAGCAAAATATAATAACATAGCACCCATAAGCAAGAATGTCATCGCAACGAAAGACTTCGCTAAAGTTCTCCCGCTTAATATAAACATCGTCATACCGAATAGGTTACACCTTGCATGCTAATATGTATTCTAAGTATCATATTACATGGAAGCAACATGACAAAAATTTTGTCCTGCCGCAGGTTAGCCTTTTACAATATTTACAAGGGTTTCTTGTCATAAATATGAGTTTACAACTTTACAAGACTCAGTTATGTCAATTAACTGTACGTACTGTTGATTGCAATCAACCACGCCGCGCGCCGAATTCGACGAGTTGTTTGCCTCCTTTATTTAAACGTAAACGTTTGATAAATTCGACATTTTAATTTTTTACTCTCTCCTCCGCAGAGCCTCCTTAAGTATTTACAAATAACTTACACGAAGTTTCCTGAATAAAAGTGAACGCGCTCGGCAGTCGGTATGATGGGAAGATTGAAATAAAGACGTAATGCAACGAAGTATGGGTTTTGAACCAAACCTTTTTTAAACTTGGAATCCACGGAAATGTGGAAGAAATTGAAATAAATCTTCATAATCTAAGTATCGAAGTTCAGTAGAGTCATTTTTGTATCTGCGCGTAGCGCTAGATACTATGCTATCGAGTTGTGGGTGGGTGTGTGCGTTAAACCTTTATATTAACTATGGTTAAACACTAAGGTCGACTAATTAGGGCTGTACTAGCCCGCGTGGCAGGCCCTCAAATTTATGGGGGGCCCGATTTGCAGCGGGCATGATTTTGGCGGGCTCCGGGGGAGGATTAATAAATTTGAGGGCCTGCCACGCAGGCTAGGGCTGTACGCATGCGGATAGTCCGTAAAACAAAGATGGCGTCTTTCTACAAGGGTGAAGAGAAACTGTTTGATTGACTTTGGCTGACTGCTAAATTGTCCGATAAAAAACTTTCAGTTATATCCTAGACGATTGCCCAAAGTAACATCGTAAAGCGTTTTCGTGAGTGATCGTGCATGATATGGTACATTTATGACTATAAAAATCATTTAGATTTTAGAATTATTATTTTACGTTAAAATTTCGTTATATGGTGCATTAGTCACATGCAGAACATCTCTTAATTATAGGATTGCTTCATAAGTTGAGTTAAAGTTAATAAAATCTATTTACAGATTGTATGTATTTTTTCATTTTACACAGCATACATGAATACATCATTATACATGATACATTAATAAATGACCATTTTGTAACTCTTATTCTGTCTGTTTTTATTATAAAAATGGTGGCTTTCGTTGCCCCCATCTTAAGACAAGTAAAATTTTCAAAGCCTCCCCCCCCCCAAACAGGCAAAACAAGAACATAAATTTTGGTCCCCCCCTCTACCTCTTTATCTTTATTTAGAGAAACAAAAATAGATAATGGGGACCAACAGACAATTCCCATTATAGACTAATTTTTTATCTTGGCAAAAAAAGTATATTCCCAGGAAGGGCATACTAAAATGAGTAAAATTGCAAAGTTTGGTTGCGAAATGTTGTGAAATGTAAAAAATATAGCCTTCATCCCGATCTCATGTAAACGGGATCTTAGACATGTGTTTCACAGAAATATATCTGCCTATCATTAAATAGAGTCCAGCTCTACTATCTACAGGAAAGTCTAGATGCAAAGTATACCTGAATTCAAGTGACTCGTGATGTTGGTAACCTTGGACTGCTTGGCCCATTAGGTATACCGTGGGACGATCCGTCCACAATACCGGATATGACGTCATACCACGCATGACGTCATTTTAGTGTTACCTGTCTCTGCTACTTTTATCGTGGAGCTTTTGATCTCGTCTGACTTCGGGCGCTTTGTCAATTAACTAGGGAAAAACAAAACATTAGCATTAGAAAAACAAAACATTAGCAAACAATTAGCATTGTAGGCAGTATACCACAATATACGTTTGTGTCTGAACTGCCTGAAAAAGATATCTCAAACGTGGTGGTCGAGTAGCAAGTAGTATTATACAATAAACTGTCATGGTTTATGTTTGAGGTATCTGAAAAAGATACTCAAACGTGGTGGTCCAGCGTAGGTAGGATTCTAATAAACTGTCGTGGAAGTTGAAAACACTTCGACGGAACCTCCTCAAGAAAAGCCAGTTCACTGAAAACATCTAAGTGATTTTAATTCTTTTTCAGGTAGTTCCGACACACGGCTGTTTTCGATAACTTACCTGTTCAGGTATCAGCCAATTTAACAGCAAGAGAAAAAGTAGGTCGATGATTGCAAGGAAACAATAGATTTTGCCTGCCACAACTCCACATTCATACCACCTGACATTAAAAAACACATTACTGTATAGCTCTATCAGTTCTTAACGGTTTTCCCTATACAGAGGTCCGGTAAGGGCTATCACTACCTAAACTAAACTCACTTTATTTATACTGTATGGGTCTGTCAGTTTAAACTGGTGTTCCTAGAGGTCTAGAAAGAACCACCTATTATTGATCCAGTACTAACTGAGGAGGAAACCTAAAACTAAACTAAACTTTATTTGTACTTGATAGCTCTATCAGTTCTAACTTGTTCTCTCTAAAGGTGCAGAAGGCTCTTTTTATTGGTCTATTGGTTACTACAAGACGAAAGCTAAACTACATTGACTTCTTTTTACTGGATAGCCAATCAGTTCTAACCTCATCTACTTAGAGTCCAGTAAGAGTCATCGATTCTTGATACAGTAATACTACAGGAGGAAAGTTTCTAAACTACACTTAACTTTATTTATACTGGATAGCTCTAACAGTTCCAAGCTGTTCTTCCTGGAGGTCTAGTAGTAAGGGCAATCCTTTGGTGTTAGAAGATTTTACAATGTAACCAATTTAAACATCTCACCTTTTGAGTTTATCTTCTAATGGAGATATAGGACTATTCGAAATGCTATCATACACCTGAAGGGAATTAAATCAGAATTACAGAGTAGCTAATACGTCATATTTTGCAAGTCCAAATCAAGACACAAGTCATTTTGTCTGTGACCACGTCAACTCACAAGTCTTCCTGTACAGTTCTTTTTACCATGAGCTGGGGACTCACGCATGACAATTATATCCCAAACTCATTAATAATTCATGATAAATTAGCCAACCATACCTGACGAAGTATATTGATCCAGTCCTAGGACTGGATCAAAATTAATTCAGTCCTTGGACTGGATCAAAAAGTAATTAAATAGTGATTTATTCGTATGAGATTTCATTTCAAATCTTCCAATTCGGACTGAACTAGATTTCAAGCTCTCGCATTTTCATCCAGTCCTCGGCTTTGCCTCGAACGTGACCAGATTGCGCGGACTTGCAATCTAGTCCAGTCTTCGTAGTCAGATTTGAAATATTACATATTAACATACTATACGTTACAAGCTCACAGTCATACTGCAATACACCACTGCAGTAGTCACTGCGAATCGATGAATTTCCAATGCAAGTTGTAGAAAAGTTAATTTTCACTACATATTTAAGGTTACAGGACACCCTTTCTGGCGTTTTGCGGAAATTCGCTACTGCGCGCTCAATATCAGTCCGATTTTCATCAAATTTTCACCAAATGTTCGCCAGTGCATGCAAAATATGGTAAAGTTGTAAAATTAACAAACAATAAAATAATGTAAGAATTATTCAGGAAAATCTTAAATCGCGGTACCTTTACGCTTTTGAGTTGTGCTCCTGCTGGTTTTAAGTTATATTTATGAAAATATCATTTTTATACAGTAAAATAGTTGTTCTACAAAATTGTGTTCGGAATTTTTTGTTTATTTCGTCATTCCGCTGATATGGCGATTTCTTTGACGACTGCAATATATTTCTGAATTGTTTGAGTGAATTGCTCTTTATTTTTAAAATATCCAAAATTTTAAAAAGCCGAACACAATTTTGAAACTGACGTATTTAGCTATGTCCTGTGAAAATGTGAGAAAAATTGGTTAAAATCCGCAGGAGCATAACTCGTTTGAAAATCAGTAATTACCGTAAAATTTTTCGTGAGAAAATTGAATTTGAATATTACATTTTCAATGTTTTTCTTATTGCAGCGAAATGTATTTTATTAAATAACTCTGCGAGTTTTCAACATTTTTCGTTCAAACTTGGTCAGATAGTAGAACTAGTCCAGTCTAGGGTTTCATGGAAACCAATAAAAAAAATTTTAGGCAAAATTAACACTCAAAGGTGTTCTGTAACCTAAAGACTTTACGTTTGACTTGTAACAAGTCCAAGTCGTATGACTTGAGACTTTAGCCTAAACTATGGTGCATTGAATTACGAGCAACAACTTTACCATCTCTGTTCTTCTTGCAACCTTGTCCCAAGTGTACATTTTCTTGATGCGTTCATGAGCTGTTGTTGGTGAAACAACATCACCGTCGCCCGCTGCTTTGATCGCTTGTTCAAGAGCGAGCACTAAATCTGAAGAAATAATAAACTCATCAAATAATGTACTGACATACATAGCAGGTATTTAAAACGATGTAGCCTTCAACCAAGGACCAACCTGGCACATTTGGCTCTACAAGTCTGATCATATCCCGAGGTAACACTTCAGGCACGCCACCAACTTTCGTACTGATCACTTGTAATCTATATATAAATACAAGGAATTTAACAAACTGAGCATAGAATTCTTCAGTTAACTTCTGCAGTACAGTAGGCCTTACTGACTTCCTCCTGCAATAACACTGGATTGATAAGAAAAAGTCGTTACTGGATCTCTAGGAAGAATAGCTTACAACTGACAGAGCTATCCAGTATGAATAAAGTTAGTTCACGCCACCAACTTTGGTACTGATCACTTGTAATCTATATATCAGTACAAGGAATTTAACAAACTGAGCACAGAATTCTCCAGTTTCCTGCAGTACAGCAGGCCTTACTGACTTCCTCCTGCTGCAAACAATGTAAATCTTAGCCTACCGAAGGTTAAGACCGAAAGTGGAAGAAATCGTTTTGCATGTCAAGGCACTATTATTTTTAATAACCTTTCTAATGACTTAAAGATCGAACAGTCATTATTACGCTTTAAGAACAATTGCAAAAACATTAGTTTAGATTTTTAACTCTGCTGGAACCTCCTACCATATTTATGGTATTTTATCCATGGATTTTATCTAATGTAGTATTTTTATATTAGTTATAAAGTATAAGTAGTCAAAGGTATTTTTAATAGTTAAATAATATATATATAATTTTACTTAGATATTTATGACAGGGCCTTGATTGATAACAGCATTCTTTTTGCTGACCAAGTTAGCCTGTATACATAAATGATTATTATTATCTCTAGGAAGAATAGCTTACAACTGACAGAGCTATCCAGTATGAAAGAGTTAGTTTAGTTTCTTTACTCAATGAGCGGCTTACTTTAGGAAGGCCTCTAGACCTCTAGGAAGAATTTTTTAGCACTGAGGTTCCCTCCTGTAGAAACACTGGAGCAATATAGGAAAGCCTTTACAAGATCTCTAGCTAGAAGAACAGTTTGTGACTGGATAAAGTGTAAATAAAGTTTAGTTTAGTTTAGTTTAGGTTTCATCCGGCAGTAAATCAGTAACACTGGATCAATATGGGATTGACTCATTGGACCTCTAGGGAGAACAGTTTAGAACATCCAGTAAAGAAAGTTAGGTTTCATTATGTACAGTAGTAACACTGAATCAATATGGGATTGCAGTGGCGCCGTGGCCCATGCCCCCCCCCCCCTATTGTTTGAAACCCGTCGGAAAATTGTCAATGTTGTCGGAAATTGTCGGAAAATTGTCAATGTTGTCGGAAATTGTCAAAGTTGTCAACGGGGGGGGGGGGGGGGGGGG